TGGCGGCCAGTCTGAAATTCTTTTAGCTAGAAGCATCTGTCGGAAAAACCAGTGCCGTTAGCGACAGAAATCTGCGGGGAGCTGTGCAAAAAACGCATCCTTGCACGGGCAGCCCGTGCGTTGGCCAATTATTGCATTTACATACAAGCAAAAACGCATAAAACGTATGGTGCGATGTTCTACTAAGTTCTACCAGTTTCGCTTAACATTCTGCTACTTACGAGTTTCAATTGGTTTTTGTCCCAGTACTGGCGCACTGAGCACCACAGATGTATCGAGTGTGAGCAAATATGGGGGCATTATTCTTGGTACGGCCAGGGCTAGATGAGTAGCTGAGGACAGTTGTTTTGATCGAAGAAAATCTCGTGAAGCGAATTGAGAAACGCACGGCAATGGCGCCTTTTTGAGCATTTCGTAGCTTTTGAAAATGTCGCACTCACGTAAAATATTAACAAGCTTGACAATGAAACGCTTTTTCATTTGTGTCTTTAAAAAACCTTTCTTCATCATGGAATGGAAAGGCAAGAATAACTGCTGAATAAGGAACTTTAAAGATTTTCTGGAACACTTTTTTTGCGTTTTGTTTTTTCGGCAACCAATTTTCCAATATAAATTCGCTTCGTCAGCAGGTGAACAAATGCAACCAAAAAAATAATTGGACGAGATCCGAGCCGGCTTTGTGACTTTTGTGAATCCCAAAACTACTATGAAAGCAGCAAAACGTACCGCACTAATGTTTCGCTGATTCTGATAATTTATCAAGAATTTTAATTAATCCTAATAGCAGCAATTCCGGAAAATTTTGATGCAAATGCTTGTACTGCTAATGGTGAGGAGAGGAAATACAGGAAGAGGGAAGGAAGGAGAAAGAAAAGGCTACGGGAGGAGGGAAAAAAGAAGTGTCAGCAGATAGTGATGTTTCCGGAGGTTCGTATATAGAAGAAAATGCGCGGTTTCAGCAGCTCGAAAAGCTAAGCAAGATAAGATGGTCTGCAGTAGTCACTTCTGACTGAAGAAACTTCATTTCTTAATTTTTCCAAACTGCCGTCTGCGTATGTTTTTTGGTATGTTGAACAAATATGGTAGTCTCATGTAATGCGCTTGATATCATGCCTGGGAGACGGGGTTAAATCGACAAAAAAATCACTTCCCCATTGCAATAATGGTGGGTAGCTAAAAACTAAAACTGTGAGCTGATCACAGATATCCAAGTTACGGTCCTAGCACAGCTCACTAAATAACAACGAAAAGTTTGAACAATATCAGATTGTCAATAAAAATCATTTCACTGCCTTCTCACACTGCTTTCGTATCGTGCATTGTTTCGCATGATACTTTATCGATTTTTTTGGAGAAATGATTGAGTCTTTTGATAGCGATCTATAGTTGTAGGTTGAAAGGCCCAAAGTATTCTGTGACAGCATCCTTTGATCACCTGAGAATCTTGGCTGTTTTTCACTCCCCTTTGCCAATGTGAAGAGGTATTGAGGCCTACTTTTATTCTTTTTTACTTATTTTCACGCCTTTTTGCGTCGATAGCTGCTTGATCTTTACTATATTACCAATCGCTAGTCTGGATGGTACTGGTTCGTACCATTCAAGTTTAGCTGGATAAAACGAACCATTTTGTTTTTTTTTTTTGTCTAACACGCCTGAAGCTGTAAGGGTTGCACTCCCGCTGTGCTTCCCGCATCACAATAATGTCTTTGTCTCGAAATTTTGTGAAAGATACGTCAAACAGCTTAAAATCCGCTTTCAGATCTTTATTTGATCTCACAACTTTTTAACATTCCAAATCATGACTTATTTCCTTTTGGAATTTTGATACTTTGAATACAGAGAACCGAGTAAAACACCGTTGTGATAAACTTATACTGACCGACGCAGCCGTTATATAAGTCCGTAATCGCTTATCGCTGAAACTTACAACCACTTTTGTCCCTTACCACATGTAACTTCGCGCCCCAGATTGGAGAATTGCTATCAGTTTCTAGCTAATTCTTTCAGAATTCAGACAAAAATCCAAAATCCCGCCTGTGTTCAGTTCTCAGAGAGATAGAGATATCCGGAAGTACTCATGCTTAACACTTCGTCAGCAACAAGTAGTGTTCATGCCACTCTTCTGGCTACTGCTTAAAGGGAAGCCGAAAAGAGACTTGCAAGAATATTTCCGATGCAAGCACTCAGCTGCTGTGAAGACCGTTCCTTCAGCTGTCCATCATATTTTTGTCTCTTTCAGTTTTGCTAACTTTTTTACACAAAAAGCATTGTTATCGTGTTATGGCTCTTAAAATCTGCTTCATTTCAATTAATTTTTAGGTTATTTAAGCATTTATGTAATTAAATTTTCCAAAATTTCCATTGCTATTAGTAGGTTTTGGTTAGTTTGCTGAGTCATGTTTCGTAATTACTATAGTTTATAAGAATTTTTAGTTTCCCGATTCTATTTGCTTATGATAACATCATATTCATATTTCTTTAGCTGCCATACCAAGTCGCCTCGAAAAATTTCAAGTAATGGTCGTTGGCGGATTTTTTCACGAGAATTGTTAATACTCATGTTCTTTTCCCATCATTGGTTGGGCTATCAGGTGGAGTTGGTGTATTTTTTAGCCAATGAATTATTACTAATTAGCTGAATGAAAATTGTTGAATGAATGCAGTGAAAACAACCAGCACGGTGAAAGAATTCGTTAAAAAATAGCTGTGTGGAATTATGTGAATGAAGGACGGGAGCAACATTATGGGCCCTGGATAACGTCCTGGTTACCACCCTGTTCTTGGTCCTGGTTACCACCCTCTTCCTTTCCCTCACAGGACCTTTGAGGCCCGTATTGCCTTCTACCTTATGGGAGCAACTGAGAAGTTGCCAGCTACAATAATGGCAAGAAAAAACGGGACGAGTGAAGCGGTTTTTAGTTGGCCGAAGTAACAAAGTATGAAATTTCTATTAAAAGCAGAAAAGCATTCATAAAATTTAGCTTGTTGTCCGGCAAATATTAACTGAGATAACTGCATGCAGACTGCAAGATAATGAGCTTTATTCAAGATTACCACCAGCCAAAACGGTTATCGGTAATCTGCGAAGAAGAATCTCACAAAATTAGAAGACGGTTTGGTAAGCATATCTTTGGCAAACAACGCCGGTCTTGGCTGTCCACGGTGCCAGACATCCGGCGTCGTCCCACTGGAAGGTCCCAAACAAGTTCGAGATTGCGCAGTTGACCTCGGCACCGCAGCAGCCGTCTGGCTCTCCAGGTCTCCAGAACTTAGCGGTGACATCCTCATATCCGAAGGGTTTATCCCAACCCAACAATGAGGCAGTAACGTTGTTCTGAGCCGGAACCTGCCATCTGCCGTGCATTTTACGAACTCCAATCCAGAATGGTCCAGAATCTCCAGGAGTGTTGTTTGTGTATGTGTCTGAAATAGGTGTCTGAATTAGGACATAATCAAGAAATATGTACAAAAAATACTAAGAACCAAGTCATGCTATGGTCTGCTAGGCGTAAAGATCAGATCGATCTTCCGGAATCGGGCCAGATGCAGGACGAGCGCCTGGAAATTGCTGCTAAAATGGCCAAATTCGGGGTTTTTCCAAGCTTACGGGCTATAGTAAGCTCCGGTTCTCAATAGTTCGCTTTTGGAACATTCATGGTCGCTAGTCACAGTTATTGTCGCCACCGGTTTGAGTAAGAAACCGAGGAGCTACTGCTTAAGGGGCAAGCGAATCGCCTTTCTTAATTCAAAAAGTGAGCAAAAAATGCTTAGAGTTTTTACGTAGCGCATTATTTGCACATCACATGAAGTGACGTACTTTTACAAACGCAGTCAAAGCAATTCGTGGAGGACGTTTGCGTGCACGGAATCACCCATCACGTTCAAAGACAATGATTGTCCGTATTATCGGTGAACTGCAGCTGGGAGGTGAAACGCAGACTACATTCTAACATGTCCTCAGACACATGGCGCTCGGATCAACCCCTTCATCTCTTATTCTTTCATTTCACGTTCAAAAAATTAGGCGCTATTCTCGTGAAATTTCAGCATTCTTGTCTTGCTAGTTGCTGAAAGAGATTGAATGACGACAGTGATGAAAATTTTGAGCATTTGTTGCGAAAAATTCGCAAGCTGCAGATAAAAATGCAGAACTGTGAAGTAGTTGTGGAATTATTCTCCTGCATTCTTTCGCATTAGAGTAACTTCATACTCTGCACATATTTGAAGAAAAAAAAAA